TCGCTCTTTCTCGCAGCCGCTGCTTTCGTTTCGCTTTCGTCCCGCTGCTTTCGCGACGCTGCACAGCTGCAGCTCATATTCTCGCAACAAGGCGACCGGCGGCGGCGGACGACGGTCGGAGACGGCTTGACTTGCCTCGACGACACGCGACGGCTCTTACTCCTTTTGCGTCGGCCTGACTTGCTCGGAAGGAATCCGTGAGGTTTTTTTTTTTTAACAAACTCTTGTTTCACCTTTACTTTCAATATTTAGAAGGCATAAAGAAATTGATGCTCTTGCCGAGGTCTTCATCTTCATTGGTCGGATCTGATGTTTGGCCGAACGGCCCGAACTTCTGCCCGTCAACCAGGAGTTATTTTTTTTCTTTGTTTTTTTCATTTTGCTGCAATTGATTTAAGTTAATATAGTTTATTTTATGAAACGAGGCCCTTAAAGCTGGTTTCATTTTGCTGCAATTGATTTAAGTTAATAAGTTTTATTGTTTGTTTCTTGGCATTTATATGATTGATTTTATAATCAGATTAATCTTAAGGCATCTTTTAGTTGGAATATTATGGAGAGATATTTCAAACGATCATCAACTCTAAAAATATCAAATGACAATAGCAATCAGGTAGAAGATCATAAAGAAAAGCGAATTCGAGTGAAAACAAATTTACCTAACAATATAGAAGTGAGCGTTGAAAATCAATTGGATACTTATATCATGGATATGCGATATGATGATCAGTTCACCTCATTAAAAGATATTGGAAGTCTTGCTGAAAAAATGATCCAATGCATAGTATATCATGTTGTTTTTAAACTACTGGAATTGGCATTGATATTACCCGCTGCTACAGCAGGCATTGAAAGAGCATTTTCTGCCATGAATATTATAAAAAAATCGGCTGCGAAATAGGATTGGCGATCAATGGATGAATGATTTATTGCTTGCTTATGTTGAAAAAGAAATTTTGAATTCTATTGATAATGAAGTAATCATTCAACATAGACCTGTCAATATTGGACCCGACCCGAAAACCCGACCCGAACCCGACCCGGAATTTTCGGGTTTGGGTTGACCCGAACCCGAAACGGGTCGGGTTCGGGTCCGGAAAACCGACCCATTTGCAAAAACGGGTCGGGTTCGGGTTGACCCGACGGGTTGCCGGGTCAACCCGAAAACCCGTTTATTTTAAAAAAAATTCAAATTTTCCTGCCCCCGCGCTGCCCGCTGCCCGCCAGCCCCGCTCGCTGCCCGCCAGCCCAGCTCTCTGCCCGCCAGGCGCCAGCCCCACCGCTTTTATATCCCCCCCCCTCCCCTTGATAAACTTTCTGGCTCCGCCACTGGCGACAATCATCAGAGAACTGTAATTAAGTGATGTTGGTCTGAAAATCACAATCAGGAGATAATTGTTAGATGATCATAACAGACAAAAGTGGTCCAGTGGTCCAATGATGATGATTAAGTCATGGTTTGAGGCAGGTGGCTAGGCGATCATTTTCCAACGAAGGCAATTGGATGGTGGTTCTTCAATGGCGATCGATTGGTGCTCAGAGATTCTTAGAGCCTATAAGTTCCATTGAATCTCAAGCCAATGTTGTCTCATTTATGCAGAGAATAATGACATATTATAGATTTGTAAAAGTGACATGCCCTAAAAATATAGCCAAAATCGAAAACATTTCATCAAATTTTGATCATAGATCATTCCTTCTTTGCTATTGTGATCTGAGGGATTATGTTAATTAATATTTATAAAAAAATAGGTGTATATAATTTAGAAGGGGGACGATTTCGGATGGTCGTGATTTAGTTGGACGGATTATTGGGGTACTCCGCCCAATGATTATCGGATGGATGTCCCACATCGAAGCAGTCCAGGCGGCGACGAATCGATGGGGGCTCAGTAAATGGACGTGCGGTGGGTCCGGTAGGTGGTTGGATTTTTGATGCAATCGGCTTAATCTTGGCCGTTAGATAAAATTAGTTAAAATTGCTCATTTTATCACCGGCTAAATGCTTTACAAGAAAATTTTAGAATTATATGCAATATAAAAAAAGTAACAATATTTATTACAATTACAAAATTAGGGAGGATGCTGAAGATGAAATATTTGGATGATGTAAGTTGCACGATGATGGTCATACAATGGTAGTCAGACAACTATGGCCGAGCGATGTTACTTAAATAATGAGAGCTCGATGACGGTGGTCGGATGACGGCATAATAGCTATAGCATTCAAATAATGGTGATTAGAGGATAATGGTTGACAGCCATATGACGACAGTCGAGCAATGGCGGTCGACGATGACCAAGAGATTGCGGTCGAACAACTGTAGTCATATCATCGTGGTCAGGAGATGGTGGTTAATTAGATAATAGTAATCATGTGATGGCAATTAGGAGCTAGTGGTTCGACAATTGCAATCAGTCGATGGTGCTGGTTGGCGGTGATATATGTATTAAATGTCAAGTAAGATTTCATTTTAGACTACTTTTTTAATGCTTCTTAAATCAATATTTAGTACAAAAATTAATTTTTTTTGTACTAGAAAGCTGCTTTAAGAAGCAGTAAGAAAGTTGTTCCAAACGAAGCCTAAAACTCTAGAATTTTTTATATTTTCAAGTTCTCTTATAACTTAAAGTTCATTTCTCTTTCATGTAGAGAATGATGATTTATTTATAAATATTATTATTTATTAATAAATTTATAATTGGAGTAAGAATATTTAGCATTAACTTTTTTCATGCTCATTAATTGAAGTAAGAAATAAGAATAGCTATGCGGCAGCCGCACCTCCTCTACTGTGAAGCTGCCACCTCTTCCCACAGTTAATCCTAACCCTTCATTTCTAATCACCAGTTGAATCCCATCCGTTCGTCTCCAATAATCTCTGTTAGGAGCACAGACAGCGTTTCCCAACGCAGTAAGGCTTCTTTTGGGACAACTTTCTTGCTGTTTTTTGAAGCAACTTTTTAGCACAAAAATTTTAATTTTTGAACTAAAAAACTGTTTTAAGAAGCATCAAGAAAGCCGTCCCAAACGAAGCCTAAGTCTGATTATAAAGCCATTTATAATTTGCGGATATTGCACAAAATCTACAGATGTAAATTTGTTTGGGATGACTTTCTTACTACATTTTAAAGTAGATTTATTTGTATTAAAAAGTAGTAAGAAAGCCATGCCAAACGAAGAGTCTAAGATCTTTCTGAATTTTGTATCTAATTTTATGGATTATGTGAATTGATTGGAGTATTTTTATAATATTAGTTATGAAGTTATTGTATGAAAAATAAATTACATTTTGTTTGAGACAACTTTTGGGCTTCATTTATGACGGCTTTCTTACTGCACCTTAAAATAGCTTTTTAATAAAAAAATTAAAATTTTTGTAGTAAAAAACTGCTTTAACAAGCAGTAAGAAAGTTGTCCTAAACAAAATCTTCGACACTATTTTTTTTTTAATAAATTGTTGTAATAAAAGTTATTTTTAAAAGAGTAAGAAAATTGTCTCAAATGTAGCCTTAAAAACTTTTTCCCTACCACAGAAATTTTTGAGACGCCTGCTCGCGCTCGCCCAAGCGAGCCCGCTCGCACTCCCCCGCGCGCCCGCTAGTGCTCGCCAGCGCGGCCACTCGCGCACCCATTTCGAGTCAACCTGTTTCGGGTCAACCCGGCAACACACCGGGTCGGTCCGGGTTCGAATATCCGACACGTTTACCTACTCGGGTCGGGTTAGGGTCGACCCGTTTGAACCTGGATCATTTCCGGGTTCGACCCAAACCCCACCCATGACCCGAAATTGACACCCCTATCTGAAAGCAAAGTAGCAGAAAGCTCTCCCAAATTGACCAATCATTTATTTATTAAAATCATAAGCTAAATAATGAGTCATTAATGCTTAAATGAAATTTATAATCATTTATTTATTTAAATGTTTATATTTATAAAATTCATTATTAGTAGAACCAAATAACTTTGAGCCTATGATAAACTAAGATAGAATGATGAGATATTAACAAATTTAATTAGGATTTTTTTAATTAGAGGAGAGATTAACTCTTTAAAAATAAAATTTATAACACTAATTAGCTCTTTCATCTCAATAGTCATAAGATGTTCACATGTGAAAAGTGGTCACTAAAGGCATAGGAAGTCCTTTCATCTATTATTCTTACATCAATAATTATGGAATCTCACCAAACCTAAGCC